ACTTTCTTTACTGTAAGGTAGTTCAAAATATGCTCAGATTATGATGGTAGTCACTACTGTCAGTCACTCATTCTGGGGATTAGGCCCTCTGATCTCTCAAATATTAGTTTATCTTTGGCCTGATCAGACTAATAGTTGCCTAACCTGTTGTTAAAGGTGAAGAGAACCAAAACATTTCCTTTGTTACAGGCTACTGGCAGAGCTACTGCACAAAGAAAGATAAGAAGGACTGATAAAACCTGCTCCCTTGTGGCTTTGAGTCTTTCAGTTCTCTAGTGTTAGAAGATAAGAAACATCTAAAACTTTTCTTGCTGTTGAGCTCTTTCTTGTCTCCATGTTGATTTTTTTCTTTGCTGCTCTCACAGTTGGTTGTATGAATGCTATTTCCTCCTTTTAATTGGAGCAGAAATGGGCTTTGGATCACTTTATAAGATCTGTTCAGGACTAAAGATCTTGTTGTAGCTGAAAGTAGCCAGTAGCTGGTGCAAATACCTTGTAGAATCCTGTTAGCTAAATTTAAGAGGCTAGGTTGCCTAATACTTGATTTATTGCTCATGCAGTAATGACTAAAATGTAGGATAGGTCATTGCCCATTGTTTCTCTGTAAAACAGTGAATTTATTTCATGAAAAATGAGAAGTTAAATTTTGCTTACATGAAAGATGCATTTTTTTAGTATATTTCCAGATGTTGTTATGCTCAGAAAGTGAACATAAATCCTTTAAAAAGAGGTTCTTTATGGTTTGGGGTTTTTTTGCTACAGACCTAGAGAATTTGGGAATATGGTGAGACATTGAAAAACTTTGTGAATTATTTTGAGGATGTATATTACGTTATTTAAGGGGATACAAAAAATGTTAATGGTACATTAAAGTTCTTCTGAATACTACTCTGCAATATTTCACATGGAATGATTTTGAAGTGTAGGAGTTTGATTACAATTCTGATCAGCTGCATACTAGATTGACTCGTGGCCATTAATCCTGTAGTCTTAACAGCATAATAGTAAATGTGATCTTTCTAAACTGTCTTATGCTTTTTCTAAACTTTATCTTTGTAGGTCCTTACCAATTATTTTTGAGCGCTGTATGTGTAATCTCTTGAAAAGAAAAGTTAGAGTACTTATACTTCATTTTCCTTGCTAACACTTCTCTGCTTTTTTCTCCTTTAGAGATGCTAACAGGCAAAAAAATCAAACACCTTAACAATTCCGAAACACTGTTTATGTTTAGACTTCAGCTCTATTATGTTGCTTGTGTTATTTCAAAGAGTAGGTGACTTAGTTTTGGCTCTAGATTTTATTTTTGAACAATAATTGAATTATTATTAATTGTTAATAATTAAAATTTAAAATTAAAATAAATTATTAATAATTTAAATTTTTGTTACTCTGAACGTCAGCAATTTTGAGTAGTACATTTGCCAGTATTTAAGAATAAAAGTTTGGTTTCCTTAACAAATAATTACTGAGTATTTCAATTTCCACAAGATTTCTGGTTGGGGTAAAGGCCAGGAACATTCTTTTCTTGAATTTCTGTAAAAATAGCTGGAAACGTTTTTAACTCAGTATGTGATACATAATTCCACCCACCTCCGCCCCCCAGCTTGTCTTAAATTCAATTTTTTAGCTTTCCTTCCAGATCTAGCAGCTTTTATTTGCTGAGGATCAAATTCAGTGGGCTTGTCAAAAAACCCTAAACAACAAACAAGCAGTGCTATCACTCAGTTGTTGAATCAATAACCCTGTGATGGGAGAGATGATTATTCTGTCAAGAGAAATAGACGTGAAAAAGTAAAAACATCTAAACCAAAGATTTTTCTGTCGTATCACAGATGAAGGGCTCTCTTTTGTGATTATCTAATCTCTCTCTAGCCATCATCTATTTACAGACATGCCATTTTTCAGTGATTAAAGGAGTCCTGAGTATGTGAATATCCAGGAGTATGTGAACAAGAGAAAGCTGTTGGTTATAGCCTCTTGGAGTTTCCAAAGGACATGAAGTAAATTTCTTTTGTGTAAGACTGAGAGAAACTAAGTGAAAGATGTGTATCTTCTTGTAAACAATTAACTGTTTAGAAGATGAGAAAAAGATTTGATTTTTGTAGTAAATGGAGTTCACCAGGAAAGCCCTGCAGGAGTTTGTGCTGGGCCTCATGGTGCCTGACATCTGAAAGGCAGTGGGTGAAGTGTGGCAAAGTTTGCTCGTGTCGTTAAGCTCTGGTGCAGAAGGACCTTTCAAGACTATGCATCGGGAGGGACAGAAATGCTTTAAACTTTGTAGAGACTGCTAGGCCCTGGGCTGACAGTTTCTTGCAAAGATGAGATCTTGACATTTTTGTGGAAAACTGCTTGGATAATGCCTTCTTGATTTCCTACTGAGAAACGGGTGTCAAACTGAATTTCAGACTTTACTAGGAATAAAGAGCAGAAATGAAAACATCATGTAAAAATCCATATACATCCCTCATCATGAACAGTGACTACAATTTTGACTCCTACATCAGAAAAAAGTTATAATACCAATGGAAGAATGGATAAGAGTGGTCAAACATGTGGAATTGCTTCTGTGTGAAGAATGAATGGTTCTTTAACCTGGAGAAGAAAACGAGGAGGTATATGATCTAGGTCAGTGTAGTCATCACCAGTAACTGGAAAAGTCAGAGCAGAGTGACAAGAAATTAATAACTCCGAGAACTGGAGAATCATCATATAGTAGATTCGAATTAAACATGATGCTCATTTAAGCTGTGAAGTGCCATAGCACAGGATGCAGGATGCTAAAAGCTTATGGTTTCAAAAATCTGAACAAACTAGCAAACAGTATCTAATTGAGAACTAGATCTCTGACTTAGGAGGTCCCTGGGTCAACTTTCTTAAGCACCTACTCTCAGCTGATGAGTCATATGACATATGGATTCAGATTTTGTGCTTATGGTTTGACATTCTTTATCTTGATGGCCTAAAAAAAAATGCAAAATGCTTCTTGACAGGCTAGAGATCACTTTCTGGCTAGCTTGTTAATCATTCTTGGAAAGTTTGATCACCTTTTGAACAAACCAGGGATATGACTTTTAGGATACAGGTAGATAGGCTTAATCGTCATTCTTTCTGTGGTGTTTGTCTGGTCTTGTGGTGACCTGCCTTCCTCTTCCCAACAATTTTTTTTTTTTTTTTACTGAATCCTCAAATCGAGGATGAAATTGCCAGATTTTTCCCATTTCCAGCTGAAGATGATAGGCGTGCTGAGACTTTGTATGCTCTTTGTGGCCAGAGTTTTGTTCTGGTTCTGCAATAGCAAAACTAAGGTTTTCCTCTGTCTTTTTTTCGGCATGTAGTTGAGGATAACTAATGACTGGCTATTTTTAATATTTTGGCTGTTGAAGCATAATTTTTAGTATTTTGACTTCATTTAATATAGATGCTTAATTATCTGCTTATGTAATTGTCAGAGGTATGCTTATTGAACTAGAAAACTTTGCACAAGGTGTGACAAGATGGTTTGTTTGCTTGAAGGATCACTTGCCAAAAGTATTAAACATACCGTAGATTTTTTTTAGTTTCATGTTGACCTTCATAGGTAGATTTTGGTAGATATTTTAGAAACATACTTCAATAAATCAGATTTGTGCAGTTGTCTCTTAAGAATAAGGGATTTGCAGCTTGCGTTCCCTTTTTGTGTTTTTCCTTGAATATTTTGCTGTTTGTAGTCTGAGGGTAGCACTTAGCACATCTGTCTCGGGAGTCTAGAAGTTGCATGCTGAAGGTTGATTAGGTTGCTGTAGGACACACTTTACAAATTAAAAAACAGTTTAAGGGTTTTTTACTACTTTGCAGTTAATTTTAATTATTCCTCAATGCTAGTCTTCATCGGGTCGCTGTTCTGTATGCTCAGTGTATCTTCTAATTACAATTTGACAGTAAAATGTTGCTTATGAAATTATTCCTTCAATAACTGTTTTGGTTTTGTGCACACAATTATAATGAAGGGTTGGTGTTCTCATATTTCTTTCTACTTCAGACTTGTTTGGAAATACAGCTTAGTAAGTTAGTTGCAGATACTTCATATTCCAAGCAGTTGCCTCCAGTGTTAGCTCTGTGGTGTTCCTGTTTAACCACTTACGGTAGACACAATGACATACTAGCTTTTGTTAAAGATAGTCAGTTGTTTCTTAAAGTTATTGCTGTCAGACATCAGAAAAGGTTGCTTGCATGACGTAATCAGTATTTGGGAAGTCTATTTCTATTTAATCTTTTGAAACTCTTGTACCTGTTTTAAGTACATATGTGTTAAACCAACATACTGTATGCCATTAAGTGATAGGGGCACATGTACTAGCTTTAGGCTGCTGCTAAACCTTTTTGGCAATTTCTGTTCCAAGGTACTGGAGATTGCCCCCAAAGAAAGCGTCATGCTATGTTCCTGGTCATTTAGGTGTTTCGCCTCGGTGTGGGGTATGGTCTAGGAACCATGCAGGCCTATGATCAGACCAGTAGGAGTTAGAAGTTACTTACAAGCCATAGCTACCTTAGCTGTAGCCGAGTGAGGTTAGCAGACTTGTGCTTTGTGTGTGTCAGCTCGTAGGATCACACCCTTCCATTTCTCCATGATGTTTCTGAAAGTCGTACTGAGTGTATCTCACTTGGTCGTGCTCTTGCTAAGATCCTCTAAAACAGACAAGACTGTAACAGTATTTAACGTGGAAAGTCTCTGTTTTTAGAAGGCTGGTGTGTAGTGAGTATATTTCATACAGAGATCCAAGGGTTTTAAGGACACTTTGAAATCTACACCATTTCATTTACGGGACATTTCTTTCAGAAAACACTTCTTAAGCTGTTAGTGCCATTGAACTTGCACAGCTAAAATTAGACAAGCATGAAAAGACCAGTTGCTTCAAGCAGTGTTCTGTGGGAATGACTTGCGTGTTGAGCAAATACTACTGGTAATATGTGCTTTCAGTTGTTTGCGTGCCTAAACTGAGTGCTTATCTTGTGTTTTTTAGCAGCACAGTGGAATGAAGTTTTCCATGAAAGGGACTCATAACCAAGGCAATGGCTACAGCCCTGTCAACAGTGGAGGCATGAGGCAACCAGTTGGTAACCGAGGACACCACCAGTACAATCGTAATATATGGAGAAGAAAAAAACACAGAGACAGTTTGCCTATTAGTCTGAGCAGATAATGGCAGATGCCAAAATGATCTTCGCTGTTCAGACAAACTGAGTGAGTGCCACTCGACCTGAAGGATGGAGACCAGCGTCCAGCACATCGTTTTATTGGTGTTGCCAAATATCTGCAGCTGACTTCTTTGCATGTTTCTTTGTGTGGTGGTTCAGTCCATCTTCAAGAAGTAGTTGTGCTTATCTGTGAAGCCTTATTAAATGTGGAAGTTTGTTTTCTGCCTTCCCACAATGGTTCATACAGTGCCGAAGCAGCTCTGACAATAGAACTGCAAGGACATTTACAAATGCTGTGGCTTTTTTGCTGTGGCTACATCTGTTCCTTTGTGGGTTCTGTTTTCTTTTATTTTAGAAGTGAAGGAAACTTCAGCCCCTTGGAATTTTTTTCTTTGCAGCAAATCAACTTAGGAATTCATAAACATAAATTTGCTGCTCTCCTGTTTTTGTTTCAAAGTTCAGAATTTTTTGCTCTGTAAATATTGGAAATATAATTTGTGCAATAACTTGGAATTTTTAATTTAATTTCATATTGTCACATAAGTTATATTTAAGGGGAAGAGGTTTTTTAATTTACAGATCCTTTCCCAGGTTGCATTATCTAAGTTGGGTTCATAGTTTTGGCAGGTTGTCTGAGCAGTGTTACAAACATGACATTTGGTAATATTTGAGGCTTCTGGATTCACAATGAAAGTGCGATTTGGCTTACGGTTTTAAGAAGGTATTAAGCTCCAAAGCGTTTTGACCCTGTGTTTTTTAGCTCATTGTCTGGCCTCTATCAGTTGTCTTGCTCTGACCAATGAGTTTTAATTTTATTCCTTGAACTAGACAACAAATCCAACATTTGTAGTACCAGAAGTAAAACTTTTGAAAGGGAGGGGAAAAAGGTTGGTTCAAATCCTGATGTGAAATTAAAAAGCTGTGAGCTACACGCTTTGATGCATTTTAGTAATGTAACCTGTTAATGTCTGGGTTCAAACAACATTATTAAACAGAGGTACCCGGCTTAAGGAATGTGGAGAAAGGAAATATGTTGATTCCATTAAGGAATCTGTATAGCAGTATGCATTAGTTCTGTTAAGAGCAAATAGATAAAAAGTACTTCAGCTGCTCTAAGCATTACGAGAAGTATCTTTTAATGTATTGCAGGAGAGCACAGCCCAGTGTTGTACACAGTATGGGTGGCTGGCACTTAATTTACAGATGCATACAGGTATACTATGCAAGTGTGTATTGCCATGACAAACACTGTCTTTAACTTTTTGAAAAATGTACATCCTGCCTAACCCTGAGTTTTTAAAGCACCACAGTTGTCCTGGGAGTAGGTCACATCTCACGCCCTCTCACTTCCCATTTTTTTAATGAGAGTTCTTAAAGCTATACAGAAAGCTACAGATCAGTTACAAGTCCACTAGCAGAGAAAGCCGAAGAATCCTGTTAACAGGACATCTATACTGTGTACAGATACAGAAGGTTTTAAAACTGATATCTGAATATTAAAATAAGGTGTCAAGCATGAAGCTTTTTAATACTCTGTATGCCTTTGAAGCAGAAGTAGTTCATGTTATTACTGAATCTGTCAAACACAAACAGGTCCTTGAGGGGAGAGAGGGCAACATTCCAAAGTAGAGTAGTGCATATCTGTTAGCAAAAAGTTTTGTCTTAATGCTCCAGACTCATCACAATTTAAAAAGAAAAAGTTTTAAAAATTGTGAGCTGATTCATAAATAATATCTAAGGGCTGTTACATGAGCCTGTACTGCTTAGTCTTCACACACTAGCAATATTGAGCATAACTACATTAAAGAGCCTTCAAAGGCTTTAGTTGGTGTCTTATACTAGCATCCATTTTAAAGCAAAACTCATTTGAAAAGTGGTATCATGTAACACTTCAGTCATGGTGAACCAAATAAATTGGCCTGGCTATCACTGTGGTTATGTGCTACAGGTTTAAAAAAATCATGTTTAAATTTTTTGTGTGGACAACTATGTGGAAGCTAAAATTGACATATTTTTATGTAAAGTTTTCTATTCTTTGATTTTTAATAAACTTTGGAGACCAGTCACTCTTCTGTACCTTTTTATGAGAAATTTAATGGACGAAATACACTTTGAGCATCTGCTTTAAATTGTTCATGCCAGACACTTTCAGAATGAGCTTGGAAGGTGGGTGGGTGCCCTCTGCAAACATTTGTGATGTGCTCATAAAGGGAGTAATAAACACTGCCGCTGGTTTCGTAGTTGTGGAGTTGATCCTTTGATAATATGAAAGAACAAAGGAGTTGGAGATAATTCCCAACAACTTTCTTAAAAGAGGAGGTTGCCTCACTGTTCCCTTGGGATATCTTAAATTTCCATATAATTTTTTAATCCCTCACTGTATTTTCTTACTTCCTTTCAAAATCTTTGTCCAGTTTTTAGCCTCATCAATGAGTGGACGTACCTTGTGGTTCTTGTTAATTTCTGTTAACTCTGAGAGGACTCTGAAATGTCATTTACTGACTCGAATTCAAAATTTAAGATATTGAGTCTTTGGCAGGAGCTTGTGTTAAATCGGTGAGCCCCAAGAAAGGGAACTGAAGTGTTTTTAATAGACAGTAATGCAGGGCTAGGGATTTAGAACCGGAGAGGTCTGTGGTACTTTATCAGTCTTAATGAGTATATGGAGAAAACTGGAGAAGTGGTAGGAAGGGAAAATAATAAGCACTGAGTAATGCTCAGTGGTAATAGGTGCTTTTTATATATATATATATATCTATATATATAAAAAAAAATAGAGAACATTATTTTTTTCTTTCCAGGTCAATTAGCTGGTGGGACATGGCTGACAGAGAGATATATAATCTCTGCAGACAGAAAAATGTAGTGCAGCAGCATTGGTCTTGGAATTTCAGTTTTCCTGGGCTCCACCTTTTCTCGTTTCCTGTCTAGGTGATGGCTTTGCTTTATTCTGCCCACAGATTCTGCCCAACTATTTAACCTTGTTCGTACTCTCCTGTTCACGCGCTGGGAGTCTCACTGTGCTCCTCTGGACCCTTGTTCTCTGGTGGTAATCTTGGATATCCACCTGGTCTGTTTCCCAGCCCTACTGACTACTTTGTGCGCTGTTCATAGGCAAAATTATCCATGGATTTTAGATGTGGGAGGAAGAGACTGCAAATTGAATGGATGAACAGGACCCACAGAGTATGTTGTAGAAAGAGCTCAGTTGCTCTCTGCTGTTTCTAAGAGATGTCAATGCTGGGGTTGCATTGGACTTTTCCTGTAACTCCTTCTGGCCCCCACCCTGCGCTGAGGCAGGGTGAGAAGATGAAGAGGTGACTGCTGGTACAGGATTGCTGGTTCAGCTGTGTTTCCTTCTGTGTGAGTGGCTGTGGGACAGCACCTTGAGAATGGGCATAATAACAGCCTGTCAAAGAGCAGTGCTGACATACGGTATCACTTCAAGCAGCGTGAGCTCTTTATCATTTGAAGGTGAAAAGAAGAGCTTGACCTGTGAATGCTAGCAGGCAACAGACAACTGGGTGTAAGTATGGGGAGAGAATTTGTCAACTTCTGAGTGCTGAAGGATAGCAAGCCTTGTACTTGCTGGCTGCTGCTAGCATAGTCTGGTTGTAAATTTAGTAACACCTGGACTAAACCAAAGTTATGTCCTGAATTCTCTAATTAAGAAACATGAGACAGGCACTGATGAGGTGGCTGATCACACCTTGTGCTTGTGCACATAGATTATTTCGATTGGGGCTTGGAGTGTTCTGGAAAGTAGATGTGGTGCCCAAAAGGATTTTGGCAGTGGCCTTAAAAAGAAGGGAAGCCTGAAACGAAAGTAAAGATCCTGGAGATCGGAAAGATGCATGGAGAAAAACACCAGGGGATGCCCAGGGACCTTAGCTGAAATTGCCTGGGACTGGTAACCGTGAGTAGCTGTATGACATGAAGGGACCTGCACACCAGCAGCAGCCTTCCTGCTGGGAAGGGAGCTGGGACCCCAGTAAGTGTAATGCTCTGGGGGAGTGAGTGGTGCCTGTGAGAAATAATCAGCTGGACTGGAAGCTCTGTTCTTGTAGGTGTGTAAACAAACCCTGGTGTTCAGACCGAGTACAGGTGGTTGTTCAATTTGCACGTAACAGCAAATGGTGTCAGACTGACAATACTGGCCATTTACTGAACCTCAGGTTCACAGCCAGAAGACTGTTGCAGCTGACATTTCCCCAAATCATCTTCAGATGACTTCAGGCTTTCTTTTCCACTGGGATATTAACCTATTGTATTAAACGTGGTTTGCTTTTTTTGTCACTGCCAACAGACCACAATATTTTCAGTCCTGCAGGTGCCTTGCATATTGTGGTTGACAGAAATCTTTCATTTGTTCTTGGCAGGAGGAGGTCACTTAAGGAGACCTATGGACAGCTTGTGTCTGCAAGATGTCTATCGGGCAAAATGTTTGTAACGAAGGATTATTACTAGAAGATCAGCTATATATTTCCGTTATACTTGGTGAAAGTAATGGTCACAGACTACAGCTGTGTTTCAGTGAAAGGATGATAGGGATGCATCTTGTAGAAAATCTTTGTACCCAAAATGTGCAAAATTGCTGCCTAAAGCTCTGGCTGAACTTGTCAGTGTTACGCTACTGCAAAAGTTTTGGTACAGAATGTTGCCTGCGGGAGAGCAGTCTCAAATCAATTAGGGATTCTCCAGCGATTTGCTTTTTTAATAAGCCTTTTATATTGAGGGATTGTTGCATTAACATAGAAATTATGGAAGGATTTTTTTCCTTCAGGGAATAGCCCATATGCATGCTTATGCTGTTGATACACTTCTCTTTATGCTTGAGATTCCTGCTAGGATTGTGGGTGCAAAGAGAGTCTCATCCGACCCCAGCTACTTTGCCCTCACCCACTGATGTGATGTGGTTTTCTGCTGTGATTCCTTAGCTGAGCAGCAAGCTGTTTCCTGTGCCATTAACTTAGGAGAGTTGAACAGTAGTTTGATTTACTGTATTACTAAAAAATGAGTTCCAAATAAATGCTTCACTGACTCATTTTTAAACCTATAACAAGCAGGATTTAGGAGCTCCTATTACAGGACTTTCAGTGTAAGAGGATGAAAGCAGTGTTTAAGCTGGAAGTCCATAACCTCTGTGCTAAAATTACTGCTTTCTATCAGTGAAAACTTTGGCACTGATCCCCTTGGGGATGTTCTGTTGATAACATCTATGCAAGAAGATTCATTGCTTCTTGCTCCTCCTTTCCAGAGAGGAAAAGCTGAATCTTCTGATGGGCTGCATCCACAACTTCAGGATTACTGTTGGGTGCATGTGGCTGATTTGGGGAGCCAAGAACAGGTGAAGTCTCACCCTTGCCAAGAGTTACCTGTCCAGGTGATGACAGATAGCTTGAGTACCACCGACTGTATAATCATGAGTGAGATCATCAAATCACAGAATCACAGAATCACAGAATAGTAGGGGTTGGAAGGGACCTCCGTGGGTCATCTAGTCCACCCCCCCCTGCCGAAGCAGGGTCACCTACAGTAGGCTGCACAGGTTCTTGTCCAGGCGGGTCTTGAATATCTCCAGAGAAGGAGACTCCACAACCTCCCTGGGCAGCCTGTTCCAGTGCTCCGTCACCCTCAGAGGGAAGAAGTTCTTCCTCATGTTCAGACGGAACTTCCTATGCTTCAGTTTGTGCCCATTGCCCCTTGTCCTGTCACTGGGCACCACTGAAAAGAGCTTGGCCCCATCCTCCTGACACCCACCCTTCAGATATTTGTAGGCATTTATAAGGTCCCCTCGCAGCCTTCTCTTCTTCAGGCTGAACAAGCCCAGTTCCCTCAACCTCTCCTCGTAGGGGAGATGCTCCAGTCCCCTCACCATCCTTGTAGCCCTCTGCTGGACTCTCTCCAGTAGCTCTTCATCCTTCTTGAACTGGGGAGCCCAGAACAGAAATCATCTCTGTTCTTTCTGGGAAATTTCTTAGGAAACTGAGGAACAGAGAATAAAGTTCATCAATTAGTTGTTCATACAACTGCATGCTGTCTTACGCGGATGAACAGTTCTTGGCTGCCAGTGCCAGGTGTGTTCTGCTGTCCTTGGGAGGGCCTCGCGGGGAGCAGTCAGCCCGGGAGATCTGTTTGCCCCTCGGGGTAAGAGGAAATGCTGCCGCTTCTGCTCCAGTGCCGGTCTGTGCAACGAGCTTCGTGACTAGTTCCTCGTACAACGGTTGAACCAGATGACTTGCCATTTCCTCCCACTCCTCCGGTAAAAAGGAGTGGTCGAGGACCGTAGGGTGGTGTGCGTTATGTGAACCATGTGGATGTGCGTGTTGGAAATCAGGAGTGGTTAAGCGCTGAATACAAATGCTCTTAGAGTAGTCGTGAAATTTCCATCCTCTGAAATTTTCAAACCCTGCCTGGACAAAGCTCCAAGCAACACAATCTAACTTCAAAGTCAGTCCTGCTGGACCAGGAGCTTGGGCCACATAGCCTCTGTAGAGCTTCTCCTAGTCTAAATTTTTCTACGGTATCACAAAAAGAATTATTTTTTGACTTATCTTTCTCTCTCTTGAGTTCATGAAGTGTTTTAATGGGTGCAGAAGTCGAGCAGGAATTGTTCATTTTTTTGCTTTGTCATGCGTTTGATAAAATATATCTGCAAATTCTAGGACCAACAGGTTGAAACAGGTAAGAACACACTGGCTTCTGAAGTTAAAAATTTGCTGGAAGTGCATAGTCCCCAAACATATATTACTGATCAAGAAGTAAATCAAGACACATCTTCCTGATTAAAATGCATTTTTGTTTATATCTTCTCTGTATTATTATTGATAAACGTATATATTGTCTCTTCTGATTTCAGTCAGCTTGCATTTGCAATGGTAGCACAACGCAGATGTGCGGGAGAGGTGGTTTTTGTAGGACATCGGCAAAATACTCCCAAATGCGAAGCCTTTCACCTTTTCTTCCTGATGAGGGTTGCATAGATTCGTCACAGAAACTTGTGAGAATTAAAATCTGCTTGTTTGCATTTACTCTTCAGTACAAGAGTAGGTAGATTACTTAC